CTTCACTCTGGTACACCACATAACTCCCTTCACTCTGGTACACCACATAACTCCCTTCACTCTGGTACACCTCATAACTCCCTTCACTCTGGTACACCACATAACTCCCTTCACTCTGGTACACCACATAACTCCCTTCACTCTGGTACACCACATAACTCCCTTCACTCTGGTACACCACATAACTCCCTTCACTCTGGTACACCACATAACTCCCTTCACTCTGGTACACCACATAACTCCCTTCACTCTGGTACACCTCATAACTCCCTTCACTCTGGTACACCACATAACTCCCTTCACTCTGGTACACCTCATAACTCCCTTCACTCTGGTACACCACATAACTCCCTTCACTCTGGTACACCTCATAACTCCCTTCACTCTGGTACACCACATAACTCCCTTCACTCTGGTACACCACATAACTCCCTTCACTCTGGTACACCACATAACTCCCTTCACTCTGGTACACCTCATAACTCCCTTCAATCTGGTACACCACATAACTCCCTTCACTCTGGTACACCACATAACTCCCTTCACTCTGGTACACCACATAACTCCTTTCACTCTGGTACACCACATAACTCCCTTCACTCTGGTACACCACATAACTCCCTTCACTCTGGTACACCACATAACTCCCTTCACTCTGGTACACCTCATAACTCCCTTCACTCTGGTACACCACATAACTCCCTTCACTCTGGAACACAACATAACTCCCTTCACTCTGGTACACCACATAACTCCCTTCACTCTGGTACACCACATAACTCCCTTCACTCTGGTACACCACATAACTCCCTACACTCTGGTACACCACATAACTCCCTTCACTCTGGTACACCACGTAACTCCCTTCACTCTGGTACACCACATAACTCCCTTCACTCTGGTACACCACATAACTCCCTTCACTCTGGTACACCACATAACTCCCTTCACTCTGGTACACCACATAACTCCCTTCCCTTCCTGTCACCCCTCACTAACCAAACTATAAAATAATGTATCCTGGGTGGCCTGCAGTTGGAAATAAAGATGAACAGCTTTCTATCTGGTAACCCCTCAAGTCCCTGGCTGCTAAAATCAACACGAGAAATCTGCAAGTAGGGACATTAAATTGTAATCAGACCTTCAAATTGGCTAAATAATTCTCCAACCCGAAACCTGATCGGCATTCTGTCCGACCAAATTCTACCTCTTAGGTCGAAGAGGTCTGGGCTAATCCTGGTTTGCATCTATTTCTGCCGGAAAGACTGCGCTTTCTGCTTTTCTCTTTCTTTACAAAAGTAGACACCAGTGGTGGATGGTTTGTATAATGGGACAGCGCGTATGCTCCTACAAATAAGAGAATGTCTGCTCTTTGGCCTCGAGCATTTTTATCTTCTGATTTAGAGGAATAAGGCAGCCTCGATTGGCTTTGACTTGAAATGAATAAACCTCTGGAAGACGAAACATGTAAATTTCTTTCTTTGGGACTTTTCAATCTATGTCCCTCACTTTATCTCTCCCACTCTCTTTATCTGAGTTTGAGAGAAGAGAATAGTTAGCGAATTATATATTCCATCAAAATTTAGAAAAACATCATACGATGCATGTACTATATATATTGGCCTACTGCTTTCTCCTGGTAGTCTCCTTTCCACACGATACCTGTAGCAGACAGGTCGTGTGAGACGCAGGCCAGACAGCGAGAGTAAATCGGTTGTAAGACAGAACAAATCAAGACTAAATATACACTGAGAAAATTGAAAATAAGATTGATCCTAAGAAAATAATTTCCTAATAATTCATGAAACTGTAATTCAATCAGCCCATGCGAGGCAGTTTGGTTTTAAACGCAACTGCACCAGCTATTAAAAATGTCTAACCGCAGCTTGAAACACTACAGATGCTCCCTTCCCTGTCTTCCCTTCCCGTGTCTATTACGCTACCCCGCAACCTATTCCATAAATCTACATTATAACTTGTTCAACTGTAGACAAAATACCAAGTTCTACTACGTTTAACACCAGTGTACTTAGAAAGCCTTTTTTCTTTGTGCTTGAGAGTAAAATTAAGGGTTGAGCGAGGAAACTAGCCTCTTAAACTGGTCTCGTGAGTAGACAGACACGAGGAAAGTAATAGATCGGTGCCTAGTAAAAAATCTTATACTCGGTAAGTTACTTGGGAATTGATGGAGTTACTGATTCCATCCGAAAATTGCATACTGAGAGGAAATAGCAATGTGAGTGTGTGTGTACTCACCTATACTCACCTATTTGTGCTTGCAGGGGTTGAGCTTTGGCTCTTTGGTCCCGCCTCTCAACTGTAGTGTGTGTGTGTGTGTGTGTGTGTGTGTGTGTGTGTGTGTGTGTGTGTGTGTGTGTGTGTGTGTGTGTGTGTGTGTGTGTACTTACCTAGCTGTACTTACATAGTTGTGCTTGTGGGGGTTGAGCTCTGGCTCTTTGGTCCCGCCTCTCATCTGTCAATCAATTAATGTACAGGTTCCTGAGCCTACTGGGCTCTATCATCTCTACACTTAAAGCTGTGTATGGAGTCAGCCTCCACCACATCACTTCATAATGCCTTCCATTTGTCTACTACTCTGACACTGAAAAAAATTCTTTCTAACGTCTCTGTAGCTCATTTGGGCTCTCAATTTCCACCTATGTTTCCTAAGGGGACATAGGTGTGTGTGTGTGTGTGTGTGTGTGTGTGTGTGTGTGTGTGTGTGTGTGTGTGTGTGTGTGTATTATTTGTGCCTGCAAAATCGAGCTATTAGCTCTTGAATTCAGCCTTCCTAACCGTTCATTTTTTCCCTCTATTATACCTCCTACATATATTTCGCTCTATCACACACACACACACACACACACACACACACACACACACACACACACACACACACACACACACACACACACACACACACACACACACACGCGATCGCTGACGCCGACCAAACAAACAGCTCACGGACCTCTTGGTGGACCTCCCTCTCAGCGGGCAAACACAATTCAACCTCGATGACTGGCGTAGCAGCTATCAAACTGGCCAATTAAATCAGTTTACCAGCCAGATGACTGGCCAAAAAAATCCCCCTCGGACGGTGACAGGGAGACTGGCACTTAGCAAACTGAGGAAGCAACTGGGAAAGCTCGTCCCGGTATGCTGAAACTTAGCTAAGTGTGTACCTAATACCGGAGGGAGGAGGAGGAGGAGAGAGAGTATTGACCTAGGGCGAGTGACGGGGAGGGACAGGTGAAGACACGTGGAGAAGGGACAGATGAAGATAAGTGTGGGAAGGGATAGATGAAGATATGGGAGGGAGGGATAGATGAAGATATGTGGGAGACGTCAAGCCACTGAATTGCTTGAAAGCAATTATTCTCTCTCTCTCGTTCTCTCTCTCTCTCTCTCACTCTCACTCTCACTCTCTGTCTCTCTCTCTCTCTCTCTCTCTCTCTCTCTCTCTCTCTCTCTCTCTCTCTCTCTCTCTCTCTCTCTCTCTCTCTCTCTCTCTCTCTCTCTCTCTCTCTCTCACTCTCACTCTCTCTCTCTCTCTCTCTCTCCCTCTCTCACTCTCTTTCTTTCTCTGCTTACTAGTCTATTGGCTTGTTAGTTAACGTTTCTTACAAAGCAAGTCACAAAATTTACACAGCTGGAAGCCTGTCATTGACAAATGTGTCAGTCTCCTATTAATTGTTTACAAGGTTCACATGCAGACTGGTTCACCTGGCTCAGCGTGCACTTATATGTGCCGCATGCTTAGGAGGTGGTCCCTAGCACCCCCCCCTTAACTTGAATACGAAACTCACTATATAGCTCCTAATAAGTTATGCTAATTAGTTCATGGGACAAGGGAAGGGAAGGGAATTGTCGGGAAAGCACCAATCCATGACGACTATATAGCACTGGGAAGGGATCAGGATAAGGATTTGGGATGGGACGGGGAGGGAAGAAATGGTGCCCAACCACTTGGACGGTCGGGGATTGAACGCCGACCTGCATGAAGCGAGACCGTCGCTCTACCGTCCAGCCCAAGTGGTTGGGCTGAACGAGTGATCTTTAGCAGCGCAATAAGACAGTCACAGGCCAGGTCAGGCCTCAAAGGCCATACCTGTCAACTGAAACCAGATAATAGTCAGTAGAAACATCTGTTCTTGATATCAATTCACTCATAAAATGTTAATATTACTAACTTAAATATTAATACAGATGGTAACTCTGAATATGATAAGCTTACTGAAGAGAGTTAGTATATGCATAAGTGCCGTAAGTGATGTAAAAGATCCTCCAAATACCATCTTTTATCTTTTTTTTTACCCAAATAATTCATCAAAATAAAGATGCAATCAGATAATAACCTTGTTACATAATTGTATTCGTCCAACCATTGTGTTTCTATCACTGTTTTTCTATTCATGTGTTTATTCAATTGAATGTGTTTCTACCACTGTGTTTCTGCCATATTATTTGAGTGCTTAATTGCTGGCTTGTGAAGAGTGTCGCTGTTGAAGATCTTATTACTGTTCGGATAAATATAGATACGCGGTATTGGTTCAAAATAATCCAGAGAAATTAGAAATCGTAAAATAGTTCTAGATAATATCTCTAATGAGCTCTCATAGAAAATAATCTGAGCAAATACACGTGATAAATACAAAACCGAACAGTTTTGAGGAAATATAAGCTTTAATATTTTGTTTTAATAACAAACACAATCACGTTAATTTATTTCCCTACCTATAACAAAAATATATTCCTTATAGAATGGAAGACAAAAAGGTCTTTCCTATAACCCTCACCTTGACCTTGCCAACTCTTAAAAACGACGCTTCATAAGCGCCTCCTCAGCTTGTCAACGAAGATTGCAGGTATCAGCTGACGCCTTGTTCGTGTCGGCCGTTATCAGCGGCAGTATTAAGAAGATAAGCTCAGCACCTCTCGAGTTAAGCCAGCGATATGGGGAACAATGCCTCTGATAAGTAAACATTGTCTCTCACCAGAGCTCAACAACCGGAGACAATAACGGATCCGAGCGGACGCCGATCCTCGCTCCTCATGCCGAGATGGGCGTCCGCATTACAGATGGGGAACAAGCAGGTACAGACTGTTGCAGGATAGCTTGGGACCGCCCCACTGGCCGACCCGCTGGCCCGCTATCAGGAACAAGCCAGGCTTTGAGGGAGGTCCCAGGCCCTCACTCCAACCAACGCCTACAAAACTCATAATATATTATATAATATATATATATATATATATAATATTATATATATATATATATATATATATATATATATATATATATATATATATATATATATATATATATATATATATATATATGCGGAAAATCCACAGAGAAATATGAAAGGAGGTGAACGTTTCGGCCTGTTAAAGTGTTAAAGCCTTTGTCAACACAAGACTCAGTCTTGTGTTGACAAAGGCTTTAACAGGCCGAAACGTTCACCTCCTTTCATATTTCTCTGTGGATTTTCCACATAAAATGATCAGTGTTTTGTGATCGTCAATTGCATATATATATATATATATATATATATATATATATATATATATATATATATATATATATATATATATATAACTCACTTTCACGTTAACAATGGGCAGTATAAACATATTTTAGTTTTGCCTCGAAAATATGGTTAATTTTAAAAAGGATTCATTAATAATTGGTTTTTACCGAGCTAGAGACTTAAATACAAATTACCTTGAAGCACCAATTCGTGAGCGGAACTCATGGCCTTGACCCAAGCTATTGACATTGGTCAGCTAGTTAGTGTTGTATGGATAAGATCGTTGTGTAAAAGCCAAAATTATCCAGGATGTCTCTAGAGAGTATATTAGCCTGCATTATCAAGATTGTCTCGGGAGGTTGTACAAATCAGCATAACGGATATAGTATGAGAAGGGTGGATAGAGAATGACGTTATTCATTACGTATTCCGAGAATTGTATTGAGATCAACTTTCTCTAGGGTGTCTTGTGGGAATGTAAAGGCCATTTTCATCAAGGCTACAGAGTAATCAGGAGAGGTAGACCCGCTCTTATGTTTCTATCTGGCAGCAGACATGTTCATTGGGATTTTTTTCATCCTAATTATCGCATGAAAAGATGTTAGGGGCGTTCATTTCCTGCTGGAGGCTACCCCCCAAACACACACCGAAACTACGACGTTGCTACAACGTTCGAACTAGTTTTAACACCTCCTAACCAGTTAAAACAACCAATATAGCAAGTTGTAACAACGTTCTAATACGTCAAAAACACGTTAAGCCAAGATGTAAGAACTTTATTACAAGTTGTAACTAGCAGAAAATAAAGACAGTTACGGTGTGTGTTTCCAGGGTAGGGAGGTAAGGAAGAGACGATAGAGGTAAAGGGAAAAAGGAGGAAGTTAAAGAGGAACTGTTGGAGAGATAGTGGGAGGAGATGACTGGTAACTTCAGAAGGGGTGGAGATGGATGGTAACTTTTACAAAGGAAAGAGAGTTACCAACTCGCAAATCGTCTGTACTTTTGTCTATTTCCCTCAACACTACCTATAGATTCAGGGACTCGGCAGTAATAACAGCAGAATCATTTGATCAAACTGTAGCCCTGATAATTCTATAAACAGAAGCAGTAGTAAAAATATAATCAGCAGTAGCCGTAGTAATATTATTAATAACAGGTGCTATTAGTAGCAGTAGTAGCAAAAGATTGCAGCAGTAAGGGTTGCAGCAGGAGAAGCAGTAAAGGTTGCAGCAGGAACAGCAGTAAAGGTTGCAGCAGGAACAGCAGTAAAGGTTGCAGCAGGAACAGCAGTAAAGGTTGCAGCAGGAACAGCAGTAAAGGTTGCAGCAGGAACAGCAGTAAAGGTTGCAGCAGGAACAGCAGTAAAGGTTGCAGCAGGAACAGCAGTAAAGGTTGCAGCAGGAACAGCAGTAAAGGTTGCAGCAGGAACAGCAGTAAAGGTTGCAGCAGGAACAGCAGTAAAGGTTGCAGTAGGAACTAGTATTATAGTCGACAAAGTTGCAAGCTTTCACAATTAATAATAAGTACTTTATAAACATTGTATACTACACAGTAAATAAATCACTGTAAACTATATCACTATTTCCGGCCTGAGTTTCTGCAGCCATTTCTCGATAAACAATTTATGCGTCTGATTGGCCTATATTTGCACGGTAAGATTTATATCAAAGCTGCAATTCTGATATAAATCTCAAATAAAAGTTCAATCTTCTTATACATATAACTGTCTGGTAGATTTGTATCTCGGCTGTAATGATTGGGATCGCTAATACACTTTTTGTGCAGTGTAGTGAACATCTGTACTACACATCAGTCGTGGCTTAGTGGATGATTCCTCGGTATATAACACAACAACAACACTGGTTGACCAGACCACACACTAGAAGGTGAAGGGACGACGACGTTTCGGTCCGTTCTGGACCATTCTCAAATCGATTGTGTCCAGGACGGACCGAAACGTCGTCGTCCTTTCACCTTCTAGTGTGTGGTCTGGTCAACTTATTTTAGCCACGTTATTGTGACTCCTCGCCCACACAACACTGCTTTAGGCTTGTGGCGTCGTTCAAATTTCACTGCTGTTGAAAGTATAAATTTTAACCTAGGCATTGTTGACCGTCATACCGTGGAGGGGGTAAAAATATGACAGCTAAACCTTCCTCGTGAGCGATTTATCGGACTTCGAATCCTGGTCAGGGAGGATTAACTACGCGTCAATCATTATATAAACATGCATGTGTTCACCCAGCAGTAATTGGGTACCTGGTTGATAACCAATTTCCAGGTCGTGTTCTAGGGAATACTAGCAAGTAAGTCTTACCATGAGCTATGGGAAGAGAGAGAGCTCTCAGCCTGCTAACAGGAGTCAGAAGACGTCTGTACTTGTACTCACTTGTAAACAAAAAAAAAAGCAGGTCGCTGGTCACATGTTTGTAAGGACAAAAGCAGGATATATGAAGATGAGGCAGAGAGCAGAGCGGCCCGACTTGTGCCTTTGGTAATCGGTCGATGGGAAGACAAAATGATGATGGTGATCTTGCTCGTGCATGTTGTTTATTAGAAAGTGATGAGAGGCAGGTAATGGTAAAATTACATCTTTGTTTTATCTGGTACCAGAGACCAAGTGAAGAGGTCATGAACACGGATGTATTCACCTAGTTGTATTCACCTAGTTGTGCTTGCGGGGGTTGAGCTCTGCTCTTTCGGTCTGCCTCTCAACTGTCAATCAATCAACTGTTACTAATTTTTTTTTCCCCACACACGCACACACACCCAGGAAGCAGCCCGTAACAGCTGTCTAACTGCCAGGTACCCATTTACTGCTAGATAACAGGGGCATCAGGATAAAAGAAACTCTGCTCATTTTGTTTCTGCCATCACCGGGATTACGAGTCCAGAGCGCTGTCCACTCAGCTCTCAGGGCCCCCTTAGATGTGTGTGTGTGTGTGTGTGTGTGTGTGTGTGTGTGTGTGTGTGTGCTTGTGTTTACTAGTTGTGTGTTTACTAGTTGTGTTTTTACGGGGGTTGAGCTTTGCTCTTTCGGCCCGCCTCTCAACTGTCAATCAACTGTTTACTAACTACTTTTTTTTTTTTTTTTCCACACCACACACACACACACACACCCCAGGAAGCATCCCGTGACAGCTGACTAACTCCCAGGTACCTATTTACTGCTAGGTAACAGGGGCATTCAGGGTGAAAGAAACTTTGCCCATTTGTTTCTGCCTCGTGCCTCTTGTGGCCTCTTGTGGTTTCTGCCTCTTGTGTGTGTGTGTGTGTGTGTGTGTGTGTGTGTGTGTGTGTGTGTGTGTGTGTGTGTGTGTGTGTATGTTTGTGTGTGTGTGTGTTTACTATTTGCGTCTGCAGAAGCGAGCTTTTAGCTCTTGGACCCCGCCTTTGTATCCAATCTATTTTTCTTCTGTTATATTATTTATGTGTCTAACAAGGACAGTCGTGGATACGATACCGAACCTTTATCAATTAACAAAGTTAATATTGACAGACTCAGATTAATAATACCTTTCCTCTGCAATATGTTAATGTCACAAGGCAAGTTTCCCGATTTACAAAATGTTTTAAAAAGTCACGCTTATAACTACATTCAGTTAATAATCAATTATCGAGCGTCATCTGTTCTTTTAGCATATCTGATTTGTTTTAATATATCGTCATCTGTTCTCATCTAAACACAAGAAAAGCATTTGAATTTATGCATTTTAATTTATATATTATAAATTAAAATACAACATACAAACCGCCTTGAGAACAATTTACAGGAAATAAGGCGTTTTGTATCATTCAATATGAAGTCTCAACCTCACAAATCTGTAACATTGGAGTGTCGCAGGGAAAAGTTCTGAGACCTTTTCTCGTTCTATTGTACATAAAGGATATTTGCAAAGCTCTGATGATTAAAATGTTACATTTTGCTAACTACACTTCTTTATGTGTCACAGGCATCGATTGTGAAGTTAAAGACTATGTCTTTAACAACATGTTAAATAGAGAATTAGTTAAACTTCACCAAAGGTTTGTTACCAACAGACTTTCTCTAAAATTACCACGGATAGTCAACCCATCCTGGCGCCTTTCTTTGATTATTATTTATTTTCTCTACAAATAGCAATATAAAGCTTTGCTGTGAATTGTTTATTAATCCACAGTTTAAGCAGCCCGTCCTCTTAAGGCACTCGCCAACCACACACAGAACAGGAGAGAAAATGCTCAACATTACCTACGTCTCAGGTCGAAACTGTCATTGCCAGCCGTCTCTTCCACACAGACTGAATCTCTTCCATCGAATCAACCAACACCCTCAAGTTCAAACTGCGGCTCAAACGGCACTTTATATTACAAAAGAATTAGAATGTCTAACTGCAACAGATTCTCAAAGATCTGTGGAAAATTCAAGTCACATCTTGGATTGAAATCCACATCCTGAAAATCCAAGTCACAACATATGAAGAATTGTCACCTTGTTACGTCAATCTTCGTGAAATTTTTACATAAAATCCTGAACTCTATAAAAAAAATATTATTTCTTTAGCGTCATTGTTATGTTTTAAATCAATAAAATAAGGTAAAGATATACCAAATGAAACTTATTTTATAAAATGAGTTTTTAGTTGTGTAAAAATCTCTTATCATATATTTATGCCAATAATTCATTAAGAATATCAAGATATTCTTCATTGTTTATTTCACATTATTCAAGCTAAAAATGTGATAGACGAAATCAGTAGACAGTCCCCAGGATTAGACAACTGTCCCCGGTATCAAGAGACGGTCCCCAGGTTACAGGGACGGTCCCTGAGATCAAGAGACGGTCCCCGGGATCAAGAGACGGTCCCCGGGATCAAGAGACGGTCCCCGAGATCAAGAGACGGTCCCCGGGACCAAGAGACAGTCCCCAGGATCAAGAGACGGTCCCCCAGGATCAAGAGACGGTCTCCCAGGATCAAGAGACGGTCCCCACTATCCAGAGACGGTCCCTAGGATCAAGAGACGGTCCCCAGGTTACAGAGACGGTCCCCAGGATCAAGAGACGGTCCCCAGGATCAAGAAACAGTCCCCAGGATCAAGAGACGGTCTACCAGGATCAAGAGACGGTCCCCAGGATCAAGAGACGGTCTCCCAGGATCAAGAGACGGTCTCCCAGGATCAAGAGACGGTCCCCCAGGATCAAGAGACGGTCCCCGGGATCAAGAGACGGTCCCCCAAGATCAAGAGACGGTCCCCAGGATCAAGAGACGGTCCCCAGGATCAAGAAACGGTCCCTGAGACAAAAACAAAGACCGTCACCAGCTCATTGACGGCACGCTGGGCAGGGCAGGAGATCCTGCATGCCTCTCCTCCCCCAAGGGTAGGCGTGGGAAAGCTGACCTTACGTCACTCTTCCCGCCCGACCAGTCATAACAGAGTCCAGCCACACCTGCAGCTGGCTAACGGGGCAGCCACACCTGTAGCTAGCTAACGGGGCAGCCACACCTGTAGCTAGCTAACGGGGCAGCCACACCTGTAGCTAGCTAACGGGGCAGCCACACCTGTAGCTGGCTAACGGGGTAGCCACACCTGTAGCTGGCTAACGTGGCAGTCACACCTGTAGCTGGCTAACGTGGCAGTCACACCTGTAGCTGGCTATCGGGGCAGCCACACCTGTAGCTAGTTAACGGGGCAGCCACACCTGTAGCTAGCTAACGAGGCAGCCACACCTGTAGCCAGCTAACAGGGGCTCCTCCTGCTGATGGCTTAACAGGCTTCCTGAAGGTGTGTGTGAGTTGGCATGGAAGGATGGCAGGTTTGTGTGATTTGTGTCAGTTGTATACATATGGATGAAGAGAGTGAAAATGGGGGGCGAAGTGGGAAGAAAAATCAATCAAAAGCTTTGTATTGAAAATGGAAAGAAAATGGGAGATAAGAGGTCATGGGAGTGGGTATGACAGGAGAGAGGGTGGAACGGGTAGAAGTGGCTGGGTGGATAGAAAACATGGAAGACTCGGAAGGGGAGTTGATAGGGGGAATGGGGGATGGGGGGGGAGGGATGTTTATTGCCCGCCTCTTCGCCACTGTGGGTTTCACCCCTCGTGCCTGACTCTTAATAATTGACAGGCTGAATGAGCAGTTAGTCATGTTACCTCTTATAACCTATCATGCTTCACCTGCACGCCTCAAGGATGTCCGCTGGCTCCGTGCCTTCCTTGGCTAGTGGGGATGCCGTGCCCTCCCTGGCTAGTGGGGACGCCGTGCACCTCCCTGGCTAGTGGTGCCGCCGTGCCTCTCCCTGGCTAGTGGGGACGCCGTGCACCTCCCTGGCTAGGGGTGCCGCCGTGCACCTCCCTGGCTAGGGGTGCCGCCGTGCCCCTCCCTAGCTACAATTTGGTACTATTCACTAACTAGAGTCCGAAAAAAATAAAGCTAAAACTAAACTTAAATATTCCTAGGCCTAGTACATAAATATGTATTATATTAGTCCTCAGATAATATGTATATTAGGCTTTTGAGGGTTAAGGTTAGGTTTCATTAGCAACATAAATACTTCAAGGTGAAGGGACGACGACGTTTCGGTCCATCCTGGACAATTCTCAAGTCATTCTCAGATCGACATGAGAATGGTCCAGGACGGACCGAAACGTCGTCGTCCCTTCACCTTCTAGTGTGTGGTCTGGTCATCTTACTTTAGCCACGTTATTGTGACTCATCGCCTGCATAAATACTTCATTTTTTCCCTGTTCGTCCAAAATTCCATAGTACCAAATTCTACTTTCTATAGTTGTACATTACGTCAATATATGTACGATGATCCACAACGTTCCTATATAAGTCCTGTCGAAACAGGACTTATATAGGAACGTCTATAAAGATGGGCTGGGAAAAATCACTTACACTGATATACATAAACCTCGCGTCTCGGTGTGAATATATACACTTGGGAGTGTATATACACGGCGTATATACATTTGGGAGTGTATATATACATGGTATGTATACACTTGGGAGTGTATATACATAGTGTGTATACACTTCAGTAAACTCTACAGTGACTGTATATATATTACCCCCACTCACGCGATGTAAGTACGAATTATTACCAAAAGAACTTATATGAACACCTAACCTAACCTAACCTCTGGCCTAACCTCCGGTCTAACCATGCAGACAATTCTAATATGTAGTGAAGGGAAGGGAAAGACGAGGAGATGGGCTGCCATTACGTAATGGCCAAGCCATTCCGACTATATAGCGCTTGGAAGGGGTCAGGATGAGGATTTGGGATGGGACGGAGGGGTAAGGACCGTCCCAAAAAGGACCGATTTTGGGGATCAACACGTCACCTTAAGGGGGATATGACTGCGTAGAGGCGACAGCTTGGGAAAAGCATATGGCTGTTTAGGTCTTGGGTGAACCGGAACGTCGATCGCCACTCACAATGTTTTCAGATATGTGGACTCGAGCTCCAGCACATCCCTCGGCACTCAGCCGTCCCCTCAACACATCTCTTGGCACGTAGCCGGCTCCCCCAGCACATCCCTCGCCACTGAGCCGTCCTCAAACACATCCCTTGGGCTCTGAGCCATCACAAGGAACAACCCATAGTGGAAGGAAGGCACTAAAGTGAAGGCATAAACTTGGCAACAGCCATAAAGATCGACAGCAGAGACGATGAAACATCAGGTGACAATGTCGGCAAGGTGACGCGTCGCTGTCCGCACCTCGCCCGCTGCCGACCCTGGCTTGGGCTCCGCGCCATCACCTACAACCCCGCCTTCGGCCCATTTCAAATAGCAGTATATCATCTGCCGTTTAAGTGCCATGTTTCGGAGGCGCGAGTGATCAAGCGTGAGTGAAACTGTTCGATGAAGTGGTGGATAAGGGACGAAGAGGCCAGGTGGAGGCGAGGGAATACGCAGAGTAGAGTTCCAGGAGACAGTATCCTGGAAGTAACATTTCAGGGAGAGTTTTCAGGCGGCGGCGTTCCAGTGGGCATAGCTGGCATTCTCAGGTTTTATCACCATGAGAGTCGCTCGACCCCCTAACTCGCATGCCCCAATACCCCTCCAATGCCCGGGGGGCATACACACCACCCAACACTATATATGTACTTCCAGGATGCCCAAGCAATGTAACCCCCGTCTATCTGGGGCATATTCCCCAGCCAAAGCCGGTGAGAGGGAGTCCGTAGAGGGGTTACGAGGTTCCATCTCACGTGTGCAGTGATTTCGTTTTAACAGTATGTGATGGTCGAGGTCTCACGAGCGTGGCCCCGTCGGGTCGCGACACGCACTACCACTTCAACACTCCACACAAATATGGCCGGGTGCCGTACCAATACGTGACTGGTGATCATACGTGAGGGGCAGCCTGTCTGGCTATCTGGTGTGCGTGTGCGTGTGTGTGTGTGTGTGTGTGTGTGTGTGTGTGTGTGTGTGTGTGTGTGTGTGTGTGTGTGTGTGTGTGTGTGTGTGTGTGTGTGTGTGTGTGTTCACGTGCCTGTGGGTGACTTGTTCGAGAACCGGTTGTTATCAGTGAGTAGAAATACAATTTTGTTTCTTCCCCCCATGGTGAGTGTTTTCATTAGCGGTGAAGATTTTTGGGATTTTGAAAATTGTTTGAGAGATATTTTTCTCTATATAAAGTTTTGGGGCGTCGTTTTTATGATTCTTGTAACTTTCTTATTCTTATGGGAAATTTCGACCGTGTGATATATAGAGAATTGCTTAGAGAGAATTGCACAGAGAGAATTGCTTAGGTGAAGACACACACATCTACACTACACACTGTCTTAGTCATTGACACCACCTGTACACTACACACAACCATCCTCATCATTAAATGTCGGAATATGAACATGGCGATTCCATTTTTTTCATAGGGATTTGCTCCTTCTTCCCTACTTTTCACCACCTTCCCTATCTTTCACCACCTTCCCTATCTTTCACCACCTTCCCTACTTTTCACCACCTTCCCTATCTTTCACCACCTTCCCTATCTTTCACCACCTTCCCTATCTTTCACCACCTTCCCTGCCCTTCACCACCTTCCCTATCTTTCACCACCTTCCCTGCCCTTCACCACCTTCCCTACCCTTCACTATCTTCCCTCTCCTTCACCAGCTTCCCTCTCCTGTACCACATTCCCTAACTTTTCACCATCATTCCAACCTAGCATTTCTACCTGTACACTTCAACGCATATATCCTTCACTACCTCAGTGAGGATAGAATCTGGTATTTAGCGAGAAAACAAATTGGTATCACTTGCCTTTTCAAGCAGCAGCAGCAGCAGCCGCGGGACACATACAGCATCTCTCCTGTGCCAGGTAAGTCCACTACAGGCTCACCATAGCCCGTGCTACTGGCCCCGCTCCTGTGCCAGGTAAGCTACGGGCTCACCATTGCCCGTGCTACTTGTTTGTTCCGAGTAGCTGAATCTATAACAACAACATGTCAAGCAAAGCGTGGGAATGAGGGGGGCCGAACCCCGATCTGCAAATAATGATTCCCGAATCACCACCACTCGACCTGCGAAGTTTTGTGAGGGCCAGACCCCAGCGTCGGGCCTCCAACATCTAAGAGACTAGCAAGCAGAAAGTCAGATAAAAGTACATTATCTTTTGTATAAATCACTCTAATGACGGAGCTCACATTTCCACTACTCTCTTCGTCACTGTAACCATCTTCACTACTTAACGATCATCATCACTGTGACCATTCCTATATATTGCGCAGTGGGCTTCTGAGCACTGAACCACAGAAGGTGGTAAAAGTTTTGCTAAAATCCTGACATATAATGTTGAAATCATTTCCACATTCGACTACATAATATATTGCTGAAAATCAATGAGAAAAACCATGCTAATATGAATGATCATTAGGAAAGCTGGGCTGTTAATCTTATAATAATCGTTGGTGTTCAAATACGTGTACTGATAACATATATGATTAATGATCCAAGCAAATTTCCCACAATACATGTCTAACTATTTGGCCGATAGTCCGACGCAGAGACACTTAAGGAAGGGGGGTCTCTTTTGACAGCCTAATAATTTATAATATAATGTGGACTTTCAGAGCAGTGAGTATTACACCCGAACAGATACAAGAAGGGAAGACTGAAGCCAGACGTTTGGGAGGTGGCTGGTGGAGAAAATAGGTGATGAAACTGGAACAATACCAGTAAGGGTGGTGTGTGGGTCGCTGCTGGCCCAGTGGTCGGTCGTGTGTGGGTCAGTGGTCAGTCGTGTGTGGGTCGCTGCTGGCCCAGTGGTCGGTCGTGTGTGGGTCAGTGGTCAGTCGTGTGTGGGTCGCTGCTGGCCC